CAGATATAGGACAGCGGAATTGATTAAAAATTTTGCGCAATAAAATGTAATATAAAATTAAATTAAATCTCCCTTTAGCCTCAGTTAAACTAGCTATACAAACAAAATACTTTAAAAGTGGACAAAACGCTACATGCAGATGCTAAACTAGACGTGGTGTGCCTATAATCATATACGATTGCAGGTTTCTTTAACAATGACTATAAAAACTGTGGGTCCGAAAACAAAAAGATTGAAGTTGCTCATCTGATCTGTAACCTACCAGTATCTCGATATAAGATATCTATCAAGTATGCATTTATTCTAAGTTCTCTTGTATTGATTGGTGTTAATTGTTGTTGCATCAGAACATTTATCTGACTCGGCACGCAAAAATACACACTCTGATCTGATCATAGTTTTAGATTATCGTATCGCGAATCAATTTAATTTTTAAATTCATTAAAATAATTTAAGAAAAGTAATATACAGTTTGTAAGGTAAAACTATTACGAATGTTAGACTTATTATTAAAAAATTTCTAATAAGCTAAACAGCACTAATAGTGTTTAAAATGATATTAGAAAATTATTTTTTATATTCAATTTATGTTTAATTTTTTAAAATTTTTTGTACTTTTTTTAAATAAATGATGTGTACAACATGTCACTTGTATGTTAAATAACATGTTTATATTTTAATATTTATATTTTATTAAAAATTATATAAAAAATGAAAAAATTATGCTCCCAGTAAGCAAGCCACATAGTTGTACGAATAATCTATCACAAATAATAAATTTTATTTTTATAAAAACAATTATATGAAATTGACTATGTATTTTAGTATCCAATATTAATTTTAGTATTATTTTTATGTTTATTAATTTAGTTTTCTTATAAAAAATAGAATAAATAAATAAAATCAGTTTATAAAAAATAGAATAGTAAATGTGTTCTCAACATTAACAATACACTTCAGGAGCATATAAACTTCATCCTGGAGTATTTTCAGAAATTAAAAATAAAAGTCAATAATGCAAAAACTAAGACTCTGTTCATTATGCGTAAGAGGAGACAGAACCCGTTGAGAGTGAGAGTGGGAGATATGGCAATAAACTGGAAGGATAGCATTAAATATCTAGGCATTACGATGATCAAACGATTCACATGGCTTAAACATGTTCAATTGAAAATAATAAGCTGTGCCAAAATTCTTCTTCACCTCCAACCACTATTCAAAACTGAAAATTTTAATGCAAAGAACAGGAAGCTGATATAATATATACTTTATATTGGTGTGTAGCGTTGAGTACTACTATTCGCCAGCTGGATTTTGTTCGCCAGGCTTTGAGAAGACTTTTTAAGGTGCCATGGTACAATAAAAGGTTTATCATTTGGTTTGTCTGCTAGCCGATAAGGAATTTTATATTTGAATAGCACAATAGAACGAATATCATCCTCAGGGATCTCAAGATTGATCCGAACAAAAAGTACATAAATGATAGAGCCCTCAAACTATATACGAAAACGGAACGAAACGTATTTAAAATGATTTGATAAAATGAAAAAAATTGACTTGAAATTTAGTCAAACAACAGTTTTGAGTTTATTGTATATGCAGTTCTAATATAAAAATTGTCGTCAAATATATATAGAACTATCAAACCTATCTACAAATCATTGTAATAAAATAAAATGATGATTTCTATCTATGTATATTTAAATCTCGTAATTGCATCTTTATAACGTATTGAAAATGAGAAGATAAAATGAAAAAAATTTAATTGCAATTAAGTAAAACAATAGTTTGGAATTTATTGTATATGCAGTTCTAATACAAAAAATTTGTCTTTAAACATAGGTATATAAAACTATCAAACCTATAGATAAATCATTGTAATAAAATGAAATGATGATTGCAATGTTATTTTAATATTCCAATTTGATGATTCATTTAGTATAAAAAAGTATTATCGATCTGATACAAATAATCATGCCATCTTTAGCTAAACGAAAAATAGTTAATCTGCAATAAAATTGATACAATTGGGTCATAATATTTAATAAAATTTACTATAATTATATGTCAATTTTGGAAATTATATTTATAAAAAAAAATCATTATTCATTAATCATTGTCATTTCTAACAAACTGGATTTTAATAACAGCTAGAGACCTGCAAAAAATCATAATAACTGATTTTAATTTCAGCTTAACTTAAGCAATTCATTGTTATTTCTATTGACTTAAGTAGATCAAAAATATTAAAGCACGTAAAAAAATGTTTTTTTTCTAAGAATTTAATCGATTTTTAATTGTCTTTCATTTAATGGAGCCGACTTTTATATAACATTAACAATGCAAATTTAGGGGAAAATATGGACAATTCTTTGCAATTAAGGCTTCCCCTAATGAAATTGTGTTCATAATAAAATGTCAAAAATAAAAACAAAAAAAACTTTGAAAACAAATAATATTATCAAATATTTGCCAAGGTTTGCGTCATATACAGTGAAACACATTAAGGGGGTGTGTCGGTGACACAAATACAAGCACATACATAAGCATTTTGCCATTTGCCAAAACAAAAACAAACATAGAAGAAGAAGAAGAAATTAAATTCAAATGTAATCGAAATGAGTAATGTGATTACTGTTAATGGTAGTCGGCTGACTTCTGCAGTCACGATGAAATCATTTCGAACGATAAAACGTAGATTTACATAAGACAACAATTTAAAAAAATAAACTGTGAATAAAGATAAAACACTTGACATAAACATATTTAACAAATGTTGGCCTACCAAAAATAATTTAACTTTCACATTGCGTCTTATAATAGAATTTATATAAAAGAAAAAGTACTTCGAACCGCAATAAAATATTCCTTAAAATGTTAATTAACACTTTTATTTGTTCTTCATTTATCACTACCAACAATTCATTTTATAATAAAGTAATTATTGAAAATATTATTGTTAAATACTTGGAACTTCGGCTTTGAAATTAGTTGGTTGTACGTGATCAACTGATTAAAGATTTTCTTTGGAAATTTGATAAAATTGCTAAATATTTCGTATAAAATGAATGTTAAAAAAAGCACAAAAAAACCTATGGTATTCAGCAAGTATGACAACGTTTAATTAATTTCAAAAATTTTTATTATGGTGTATGATCCAAATTTGACTTTACACATACGAGTATAAATTTTTAATATAAAATATTTAATATTAAATAGTCTGCAAAATATCATTCATTATTGCAGTCAGACAAAATTGCATATAGTGACTGATATGCATTCCAACCATATAATAAGTAACAAATGTACATAGAGTGGAAAAAAATATAAATAAGTTTAAATTAAATATGTTTATGAAGCACACTCGTATATTTAAGAATATGTTTACAACAATAAATTTAGATTTAAAATATAGTTTCGTATTGGTAAAAGAAGATAAACGTTTTATTCAGTTGTTATAATACCAATATTTAAGACGATTGATACAAAAAATTTCAGTAAGTGCCTAAGCCCATAAGAATGTTGTATTTACAAAAGGTGCGGTTGTTATACTCACAATCTGGCTTAGACCACTAAGTATAAAACCTTTTGACCATATCTCTTCCACTTCATTACTGAAATGAAATGGAGACATTGCGGTGGAATTGTTCATTCCTAAGAGGTGGTTTTAGTGGGTTCAAACACTCACAATAAAGAAGCAGGTAAATAAAAACAAATATTGAAGAATAAATTATCACAGTTCTTTGGAAATATAATATAAATATTTCTTACATATTAAACAAATCATGACATTACAGAAAGTACTCAGAAAGAGTACTAGATATCAAAAAAAATTACTTCATTGTTAATCTCAGAGAAATAAACATTTTTTTTTGAATTAAGAAAATAAACTAGCACTATTTTATATTGTATATGTTTCTTAACATTCTTCTTCTCAGTTTTCAATACAAATAAATCTATCATAGTATGTTCTAACGAAATTAGCAAATTGATGAAAATTGTCTTCTCCGATTAGAAACATTTCTCAATTGAGCAATTTCTAAGCGATTAAAATGATCAATTTTACTTAAAACAAAAATATCAAACATCAGTTATAAATTTGCTTAAATACTCAGTATAGAACATTTTACAGACCAAAACCATCACTAAAAAGTTTCAGAGTGTTTATACTTTCAGAAACGCGCTTTTTCGTGAATGGTTGAAGATTCTATATGTTAACATAGCGTTATTTTTCATTGATTAAAAGTCATAGATACAAGTCTTAATGGTGACTTTTTGAAAATTTGATTATTTTTATCATTTTTCCTATTAATTTAATAAAAGTCAATCACAAATAAAAATTAAAATATTCTAAAAAGTTCAAAAAAACTTAAACAATTATACATTTTTATTTTGAAAACATTATATTTAAATTAAGTTATTTAAATTTATTTTTGTTCATGTTATAATTTTTTTATGCTATTACAAATCTATTGTTTGATAGAATATCCCTTTCAATACATACATATATACTCCATAATCTTTACATTTTAAGGAAAGATTTCTACTACATAAAAATTCAAATGTTCAAATTTGATCTGTTTTTTTATTTTACAAGGACTTCCTACTGACATTTGTTATTCTTCTTTAATATATATATCTAGACAGTAGGGAGTCTAAATACTTATACAAAAAAAAACATCAAATTTGAAAATTTGAATTTTTATGTAGTAGAAACCATAACAACACATTCTTTAATATATATATAAAGTATATTAACTACAGTGTCCCTCAACGTTATTTACAAATGTTCCCAAATCTTTAAAATTTTGTTTATATTTTTAAATATTATTAGATAAAGAAATATATATTTATTAGTTTATTTTGTAATGTTCAAATAAATTTATTTAATAACAAAATAAAATGAAAAATTGCTATATAATTATATTTATTATTAATTAAGAATCATTTATTCAAATAAATAACAAATTATATAACCAATATTTTTCGCAATTTTTTAGATACTCTGATGGTACAGTGAAATTACGTAATTCAAATATTGAACTTATGGATCAGGATATACTTTATCATTTAGCATTAGGCAGTGAAAGTCATGATTTACAGGAAATGTTCGGTGATGTTAAGGTGAGTGACAATAACATATTGTAGATAATAATGAAATACTCAATCATTTTGTATTTTAAAAAATCATAACAAATATGAACTTGAACTATCTGCTATGAAATGATAAGTAGAAAAACATAATTTGCAATATTTTTTTTAAAATTTCAAGTTTTCTATTACTATTATTTGATAAGCAAAGTCAAAAAAGCTTCAATAATGTTTATTATCAATAAAGAACAACGTTTCAGATCTTTGCTGTTTGACGCAGTATTTGGAAAAAAATTTTTAATGTGCAGAAGAAGAATAAATATATACATGACATAAAAATTTATTTGTATAAGTAATTTTATATAAATTAATTTGTTATTTATTATATAATTCATTTGAGAATTTAGAATTTAATTTTGAGTTGAAATTGTTTTTATTGTATTTGAAAGATTTCCAAATTATTGCACAGTTCCATCAAGTTTTAATGAGGCATACTTTTAGGTAACTCCACTACTGAAAAAAATAAACTTTTAAGTTAACTTATTCTGTGTGTAATTTAGTATCTAAATTAATTAATAAACCAATGTAATAATTTACTCTTAATGTGGTTTAGTCTCTTAAGCTAAATAATAATTAAAACTTAATAAAATCTAACACAACTGTATCGGGTCATGGTTATTACAACTATGGCTGTAAATGATTCAATTCATTTCTATTTTTCAATTCATTACAAAGTTCTTTAAGGTAACCACAGCTTTAAATTAAATTGAAGAGCCATTTGTTTCAATGCTATCCATTGAAAAGTCTTTAAATTTCAATTCTTATGCAACTGGCCAGCGGAAAGACAAAGTTCGACGCTTAATATGGCTATTACAAACATTTTTGGCATATTCTATTAAAAAAATTTTTATTTAATTTATTACTATTTCATGAAATATTTATTCTTAATAGATCACATATTTTTGGAGATCATAATTATGTATGTTATCTCTCTCTCTCACTCTTATGATGCAGTTGAATTCGATTTTATAATATTTAATATATTTAAATATTTAATATATATAATATTTAATTTATAATAGTTAATATAATTTTTAATAATCAAACTAAATAAATATTTTGAACAACGCTTAGGAATAATTGGATATAAATACAACTTTTGCAAAATACCTTTTAAAATAAATAATAGTGAAATAAAAGTATTATTTACATATTGTGAAGAAAAAGCTAGTTTAAATGCATTAATAAATATAATTCAATCAATCTATATATACATACATTTTATTTGCGTGAACAAGTCGCAAAATGCAAATTTGACAAAACTGGCTTAAGTCGTGAAATTTATGTAAATGGTTTTAAATATTAATATACTGAATTTTTAATTCTTGTTAATTATAAAAAGGTGATTTAAAAGAGAAAAAAAATGAACATAAAAAAAATTATTACAATTATAAATAACACAACTAATTAAATCATTGAATATATACAGCTTTATTTCGAGTTATATTTGTTTTGATTTTATATTTATTTTTAATTCTTTATATATGTTTTTATATATGTTTTAAATATATGTTTTAAAGATTAAAAATATTTTCAATTCTTACTTTTAGTTTGTTTGCATGGGCGGAACACCAAAGCGCATGGAAAACTTTGCACATTTCATAATGAATGAAATTGGTTATAAATTACCTGCAGGGCATCAACTGCAGGATATAAGCGCCTATTCATATCGATACTCAATGTACAAAGTAGGTCCAGTGCTTTGCGTTAGTCACGGCATGGGAACGCCCTCAGTAAGCATATTAATGCATGAAATGATTAAACTTATGTACCATTCCAAATGCCATGATCCAGTATTTATACGTATTGGCACTTGCGGTGGTATTGGAGTTGAGGGTGGCACTGTTATCATCACCGAAGATGCATTAGATGGTCAACTTAGAAATTCACACGAATTCGTAAGTATCACGTTTTTAAACTATTGTAATATGTAAATATATAGCTTATATAATTTATAGACAATATTAGGTAAGACCGTTCATCGTCCTGCCAAATTAGATAAGAAATTAGCGCGTGAACTTAAGTCATTAGCTAGTACTGATGATCCCTATGATACCATCATTGGCAAAACATTGTGCACAAATGATTTCTATGAAGGTGAGTGAAATAGTAGCATTTGCATTAAATATTTTGTATTTAAACATTAAATATATATATTTTTTTATTAAAGGTCAGGGACGTTTGGATGGTGCTTTTTGTGAATTTAGTGAAAATGATAAAATGGAGTATTTGGAAAAATTGCGTGAAAATGGAGTTGTAAATATTGAAATGGAGAGCACAATTTTTGCAGCATTGACATATCATGCAGGGATCAAAGCAGCAGTTGTCTGCGTTGCACTTTTAAATCGCCTAAATGGTGATCAGGTTAGTTTTATTTAGAATATATATTTATATGTACAATATGTACAATATATATAGATCATTTATTCAATTATTATGTTATTTTTAGGTTAATTCACCCAAAGAAGTCATGAATGAATGGCAGGAACGCCCACAGATACTTGTCTCGCGTTATATACGCAAAGTACTTGCCCAGAAAGGTCAATTAAAAGCATTATTTGGTCATCAAGGATCTATCAAATCCCCACGACGTTTCAAATTAGTACAGCAAGAATCTCAGGCTCATGAATAAGTTAACTGTTATAATAGTATAATGTATTTAAAAATGTTATAAATAATTATAATATAAATTGATGTTATCTTATTTTGTATTGTGTATTATATAAGTATATGCATAAATATCAGATACTTTTGTATATGTGTGGAGAAAGATTTGTTGAGATCCACACTAGTAAAATTGTCCAATATATCAAATATGCACATATGATCTTACAAATCACTTAAGGATGAATGCATTCCATATCCAGGTATGAATGACATAAGTATCAATTGTATCTGAACAATATAGAACATAACTGCATTTTTGTAATTAAAATTATGCCAAAAATAGTAAATCGAGAATAATACATAAATTTTTATGCGCACGCGCTACTTTATTGGGTCAACACGAATTACTAACAACAAAAATATTTAATGAAAATAAAAAACAAATCTTGTGATTTTAATTTTACTCATTTTTTAATAATTGCTGTGTTAGTGTTAATTTATTGTGAATTTACAAAATAAACTATATTAAAAACAAAAAGTTATGTATAATATAAAAATAAAATTGTTTTGAAATGAAAAGGTTATAAATTCTAAAAATCGCATATTCAACGAAATCCTTTTGTATTTTTTGTCGTTTTATATGTGATTGTTACATTAAAAACAATGAATAAATTCATAAATAAATAATATAAAACAAAAAATAAAAAGTCTTTTAATACATATTATACAATGGAAAAGACAAACTCTTATTGCTACATTTCCAAAAATAAAAATAAAATATAAAATTAAAAAAATTATCTATAAAAAACGTACACACGTTCCAAAAACGCAAAAAAAAATTTAATATTATTAACTAAATATATATAATATAAATATTTTGATTTTTAATATTTGTAAAAAAATTATTGTTACAAACTTTATGTCTATGAATTTTTTCCAGCTCAATTTCTTAATATTCATTAGTTGTGAATGTGAATTAACGTTGCTAAACTTTTTGCAGTTACTCTTAAATTACATTTGTTACATATAAAAATATGTTGAATATAATGAATTATAAATTTATTAAATAATATTATAATTATTAAAACTGTATGCGCTACTATTGTGAAAATTTTGAAAGTATATATAGATATATTACATATCTGTATAAAGATTATATTACATATATATACATGGAAATTAAAACTATATATATTTATGTAATATAAAACAATACATATGTTTATATAATATAAAACTATATATATTTGTAAATATATAGAATTCTTAATATCATTATACAATATATATGCGAATATATACAAAAAATAAAAACGATATATAAAACTGCGTATTTAAATAAAATTATATTTTTAATTCTAATGTTTTTTTTTAAAAAACAATTATGAGATTAAATATTAAATATTTGTGAATTCATTTATATATCATGAAGTTGTCATTATTTAGAAGAATTGCCTTTTAAGAAATAACAAAGAATTTTTCAATTTTGAAGAACACAATTAAGTGTGACGTTGCATTGGTATGATATCATTGAAGTCTATATTTCAAATTTGACTTCGTTCGATTCTTCGTACTTACAGTACTAAATTATAAACAGATAACCAAGCAGAATTATTGAAACACAAATGGGTGCATCAACAGCACACAGGCGGGTAAATAGCGGTATTCCCCAAGGGGGCGTATTCTCTCCCCTCCTCTGGAATATAGTGATGAATGAACTGCTACAAAAACTGAGGAGAGCAGATTGCGAGACTATTGCATATGCGGATGACATTTCGTTAACATCTGCTAGAATATATACTACTAAGGGATATTCTGCAGAATGGTCTCAATATCCTAAATTAATGGATGCTAAATTGTGGCCTTGGAGTTAACCCCAGCAAAATTGAATTCTTAGACTTTATCAGAAATCATAGGGTTCCCAATCTTTGTCCACCCTATATTAGAGCTTCTGCGATACAATTCACTGAGAAAGCAAAATGTTTAAGCATTGTTTTCGATAGAAAATTTATTTGGAAAGAAAATATTCATAGCTGCTCTAATGTCTAAAATCTGGGGATTTTATGGGATTATAAACACGTATTGTTCAATTGCTATACACGGCTGTTATTAGACCAATACTTTTGTATAACATCACCGTATGGTGGACGGCCCTCGTACTGTACTGTACGATTAGTGCTATTAATTATAATTTATAATAATAATAATGTATAATAATTACAATCACAATTACAATAAACTTAATAACATAATTGCAATTAAACAAAGTAATGAAAATATAGTATAATATAATATGTTAATATTATTTTTTTATATTAATTGATTTTATTTGCCGATAGTGGCACGTTTTTATGACGAAAAGAAGCTATATAAAAGTTAGACGGATTTGAATAGCGAAGAAAAGACAAGGACAAAAATTTATTTAATTTAATTAAATTTGGCTGACCAAATTTGGCAAGAAAAAATTAACATTAAAAATTAGAATTATAGGAAATATGAATATTGTTTAGCTTTTCCTAATCGCGATTAACGAACTTGTAGAAAAACATCTGCATAGGTTCTTTGTAAAATTGCATCTAAAAAGGCGCTTTACATATAGTCAGTAAAAAATATGCATAACAGATGTCTCTACAAAAGAATAGCTTTGAAATAAAAATAGGCAACTTCAAAAATTAACTTTCAATTCGTTGAACGTGTGTTTCCAAATAAAGCTGTAGTTTATAAGCTCGTTTTAATTTAAAAGCACCGCAAGTTCTTTGGTTAGTGTCACTAATTAAATATAAAAGTGACAAAAAAAAAAAACAAAAAAAAACCTGGAACTTGAGCATTGAAGGTTTATGTAGCCTTGGCTAGTTGTGGAAAAACATGCTTAGTCACCACTTCTAATTTGAATAGCACGTGTTCTAAGCCTGGCACTAATTAAAAAATTCAATTATTTCCTAAGACCACTGATGATGAGCACTTGGCAATACTCGAAGCAGCGTTGTATAGTCAACCAAATTTCAATAAATTAAATAAATTTTTGTCCTTGTCTTTTCTTTGCTATTTAAATCCGTCTAACTTCTAAATAGTTTCTTTTCGTCATAAAGACGCGCCACTATCGGCAAGAAAATTTTATCATTTTTGAGGGAATGGATTTTCTTATCTTCGTGTTTGTATTTTAATTTATAAAACTTTATTTACGAAATAAATAAAATTATATTATGAGATCATTGCTTGCAAATGATCTTACGTGTAGAAATTTCAACATACGATTGATTAGCCGCTATGCAGATTCAAGATCCGAAATTGAATATGATCATTGCTATACTTCAACGTAAACTCGAATCCAATCAGAGGAAGCAAATCGAAATGGATTACATAGTCAACAATTCAAATCCGATGATAAAAATTGGGATGAAGAACTCCGATCACTATAGTGGATGCTTAACACACAAATAAACTCAACGACTAATTTTTCTCCAAATGATCTCATATTCGATTTTAAATAGCGAGATATAACAGCTTATATCTCGTTTACACGATTCTTTACAAGATGATACAAGATGATATGGTTGCCCGCCGACATAAAGCAGCCCAACGTATAGAAGCTGCACGTACCAAATGGAAACACCGTAGCCATAAGAAACCACAACGATATAAAGAATGTGATCTGGTAGTAGTTGAAAATGTTCCATCAGCTACTAGCGAGTCGAAAAAGTAAGAACCGAAATACCGTGGACCGTACGTGGTAGCGAAAGTTATTGGGAATGACCGCTATTTGATTGAGGACATGAATGACCTTAAAATCAAAACTCGAAGGTGTTCTCTATATCCTGACATTGACAATTTTAAAGATGATTCAGATTCTGAAGAAGACGAAATACAATTCGAGGCGACTTGCAGTCAGGAAGCCGAGCTGTCACCCTGTAGTTTGATTCCCTTACCATAAAAATTCCTTTTCTCTCATATTCATATAACAACGTTGTTATTAATTTTAGTTAGTAAAGTTAAGAAAATCCCAAACGTGTTTGTGGTTATAATAATTTAAAATAAATATAATAATGTAACATAATTATAATATTAAAATAAACGAAAATAATTTTAAAGCAGAATTAGTTGTTGATGACACTAGGAAACTAGATTCCAACTTTCAACAGCAAACACACCATTTTTTAAATTAATTATTAATATTTAAAATATATCAATTATATATAATTTTGGAACAGAGAACTTAAATTTCTTAATCATTTTAAGTTATCTTGTAAGTTTTCGGAGATATAGTTTGAAACTAAATTATAAGTAGAAACATGTTGCTATAATTAAAGTAAGTCTTACTCTACGTGCATTTTATAATTATAAAAAAAGTTAGGTTTGTTTTACAATAAAGTAGACTTAAGTCCTGAATTGCTACATTCAATTGAATTGCTATATTCAATAATATCGAATATAGGTGAAAAGCATCGACAGCAACAGTGTGAGACTTTAACCCACTAAAACCACATTTTAGGAATGATAGCGTAAAAATGTAGCCGCGTTGAGCGGATTAACCCCATTCCAGTAACCAACGGCAGATTGGAGAGCAGAAGGGCTTAGTATTTAAGAAGCTAAATTTATCAAAGCCGAAGATGGATGCATTCAAGAGGGAGAGAGATTTACTCAAAATTGCGGGGGGATGGGTGGTCTAATTAAGAATAAACTCTATGCTCGGGTTTATATAAGCCACGGTTGTAGAGCGGAATAGTGAAGGAAGATCAAGCTCCTCTTCAATATAGTGTGCTAGGAATTAGGGGGCATGTACCTCATGGTCTTAAGCAGCATTGTTAGGAGGGGATCTACCTGTAAAATGTCGGGGGCTCTGGATGGCGTATCTTACAAGGTGAGACGAGGTTGTCTTTGGTATTTTAGCTTCTCAAGAAACTGAATGGGAGTGCCATCAATTTGTAGCGCTAACTCGGAGATCATAAAGCACCAAACGTGGTCGATACGTTTGCCGATAAGGGCTGTTGTAGAAATTTTGATGGGGATGAGCCTAATCTTCCATTTACCGTAGTAAGCGGAGAGAGCATTAAGCTCAATGGAGATTCTGTGGGGGAGGGGGGACCTCATGTAAATGAGGCAATCATCAGCGTAGCATATTTGGTTAACACATGGAGGAGGAATGGGAAGACCTAGGACTGAGTCCTGAGGGACACCAGTGGATTTGGGGTAGTTACTAGAAATGGTTGAGCTAATGAAGGATCTATTGGTGAAAAACTGGTAGATAACGCTAACGCCGGGTTGGAGTTTCACATACAAGGAGTATGTTGACTTAGCCTTCGGGCCACACTGTTTCAAATGCCTTGTCGATATCTACGCTAGTTGCAACAGTGGATTTCTTGTTGGCAAAACCAACAAACACGTCATTCTGAAGATGGTGCAATATATCCGCCGTCGACGTTTTGCTTCTGAAACCGAACTGAAAGTTCGGAAGAGCATGGGTTTTAGAAATGAAAAAAACTTCAGCTTGCTTTGTATGAAGGTTTCATACAGTTTGCCTACTAAATTAAGGAGGGATATGGGACGGTAAGATTTGGGCTTCCCACTTTTGAGAATAGGGCGCACAATTGCCTTTTCCACTACTATGGACGAGTTTGTATGCATGATTGAAGATCATGGCACACGAATTAAAAAATATTGGTGACAGGCGGCGCAGTGTATAGTAGAACGCTCGAGGAATTTTTGAAAGTTTTGAGGGAAAGTAACTCCTAGAGGCTAGATGGGGTTATCAGACCATTACGGTCGTTGTTGTCAGTGCAGACGGCTGAGTAATGGGGCGAGAAGGTTACAATAATACTACAGTAGGCACTGATGAGGCAATGGATGTTATTGTTGGTGGCTGAAACAAAGTCAGGGTCACCATCAACCCAATTTTTAATTACGTTTTATTTTGGTTGAAATTATCGTTTGATATTACAAACGATTTGCGAGAACAGAGAAAAAGGATCGCCATATCGAACATAATGTTAATTTAACTGTGCCCGTTCTGTTTGAAGGTCAATAAGTTATTATTTATTTATAGTCAGCGCTAATATCGCTTCAGTTAGTTACAAATTACGTTATTAATATGTTATAATATAATAATGTGTTAATATGAGTGTTCATTCACACTTGGGGTAGTATTTAAATACTTTGAGTGTTTGAATGCTTAGCATCATTCTAGCCTCTTAGTTATAGTATACAGATAATGATGGAAATATGCAGTGCAGAACTATGTACATTAGTTATACAATATTGTACAATACTTTACAATACACAAAGTGTATACCTGGTTTTACACAAAAGTATTATTAAGATGAAGCACCATCTATTCGCAAATATCACCATCTATTCGCAACAGAAGTAGATTTTGCAGGAATAAAAGAAGTTAGAATTTAAAAATGTTGTCAATATTATCGATATTTAGGTAAATATAGCCCAATCTGGCATAAACATATAAAACCAAACATTTTTCATTTCACTTTTCTTTTTTGGAGAATGTCAAGAAGGTTTTTATGTACATTTTAAAGATTTAGTATGCTAAATTATTTTTCAATATTATTTTCTTCAAATTCGAACAAAAGTATAAATTATGATTACATAATTCATATTGACATTGTTATTAATTCTCTTCCTCTATAACAAAATTGGTATAAAATCTATTTCTCCATAATGCAAATAAAATAAATAAGGAAGAAGTTTTAAATTGTAAAATCAATTTTCACTTATCACGGTGTTTAGATAGCCGTAGTTTAAACACATAAAGTCTATAAACAAATTAAAACATACGATTGGATTAATTAAATAAAATTAATTAAATAAATTTATAACTTATAGAAATATAAAATATTACAATATTAACTTCTGACTTTTATAATTGTTTCTGTGGAAAAAAAAACATTATACCATAAAAGTAATAAAAGAGAATTAACAAAGATACGCCACTTTTATGATATCTTTTATAAATATATGTCATTACAAAATCCATAGTAGAAGCAAGAAATGAAATAAATATTGAATTCATAAATTCGCAGAAATCGGTAGCACTTGTTCGGTAACTCATTGCATTTTTGCAATGAAAAATTTAAACAAAAAGATACTTTTTATATTCTCATTACGCTTGCAATTGGTCAGAGTAACTAATTTCTCATTGCTTCATGAATTTTTAGAATTTATTTATGTTTTATTCTAAAAGAAAATTCATTGTAAATTTGTTGTTATGCAGCGATACGATAACCTGATCGTTTTTCTTTATAAATATTTTTTCCGCTCTCTGATGGATGAATTCGATTTTTTACTTTGCGATCGGTCAGTGCGTTTTTAGTCGTGAACTTGAAAAGTCTATTGTCGTCGTTCTGAACCGCCAATACGTGTGCTTGGGTTACTAATTAATTTTGTGAGGATCAACCTTGTCGCCGATCGTTTCGGAATTTTTATTTCATTGTTTTTTTAACTCAGTAAGTAATTTTCATGATATGGAAAATATTTGTTGAGGCGTGTGTTATTAATATTCAAAAGAGATTTTAATTTAAAAAAATATATATGTATGACGTTATTTTTAATATAATGTGTAGGGCATATTCTTTAATATATAAAATATTTTCAAAATATGAATACAAAGATAAAATTAAAGAAACATAATGAATGATTCATAAAAAAGCTGTAAAAATTTGATGTTTGAAAACATAGGAAATTTTTAATATATGAAAAACGTTAGATTGATCTTGTAAAATGAATGCAATGATCGACATTTTACAATTTTACTACATTATAAGTATCTTGTCAAAACTCAATATACTTCTTATTTACAACAGACTGAAAATATATAAAAATATGAAAACAAAAAACACCACATTTACATCAAACAAACAAAACCTATACAAACCTATACTATCCTTTAATGAACAAATTGCTAGCTGCACCACAAATGCTTAGATTTCCCAATTTGCATAGACATCTTCGTATCGATAGCAATATAGATACTTGAAGCACTTAAAATTTTTTCCACCATCAACTCACATTCGAATACTACCTCTCTTTGCTGAAAACAGTTTTTATCCACAGTATTAAATTAAAATCTTTCCGTCATGTTCTCAATACAGTCAGGTACTAAGTTTCACAGTTGATATAACTATAATTATTTGTTGATTATTGATATAATATTTTATTTACTGTTAGATTATCACGAAACACACTCGGAATAATAAATTTTCATAATACATATTTAAGATTGCACTTATTGGTTATCGGAACTTTTACTTTACTTGCTGAATTACAATGCTATACTAATTACAGACTCTCGCCCTAAGCTAGAAATATGTTATCGTATTTACTAACTACATTTTGCTTCTATACGCTTTATTCACAAAATAAAATAATTCTGCAACTGTGTCAATGTCAATTTTTTGAATAAACAATTTAAAGTACTAAGTGATAGAATAATAATTAAAGAGTGAGATCTTACAATACTGATATATATTCCAAGGATTTTTTCTTATTCATATTCTGAGAAGTTCCTTTTCTATCGAAAAGTTGTCGAATAAATGCGAAAATATAACGTTACAAATTGTATTTTGTTGCAAAAATAAATCTAAATTTCGGATATGATCTAAATTATTTCAGTAATGCAACTGGATTTATTTCATTTATAAATATCACACAGTGTTATAAAAGATGTTAATGGTTTCGGTTACATTGACTATATTTCTGTGCTTTTGTAAAATATTTTGTGTTTGGACTAGTTTTGATATAAAATATTTACTCTAATCATACTAAAAAAAATTATATAATTCACATTTAGTAATTAAAACGTAGTAATCAAAATTCAAGGAAAATAAAAGTCAATAATGTGGAAATAGAGTGAGAGAATAATGTAAAATACTAAAGTTCGACTTTTGACAGGAAATACACTTGGCTAGAGAGCAAAAAAGTATAAAAAACTTAAAAAATATAATGGTAATATAACTTCGAATGATCGGAAACCATTAACACAAGGAAAGTTGAGTGTGAAAAATAAAAATATTTAATAAAAAAGACCTAAAGTACTTTATGGCTACGTTACGTATGGCAATGCTCATCCAACCACTATTAGAAAACTTCGAACTTGTCGGATTATTATACTGACGCGTATGCTAAAAGCTCGATGGTATATCAGAAATGAAGATATACACAAAGACTTTAGAGTCGAGACTGTGCAAAAATATATCAAACACAAAGCGCTGAAATTGTTTATTTCTATGGTATGAAATGCTGAACAACTCATTATAATTAGTGGAGCACCCAAGTAGATACAGACACTATTGAGTGAAAGTGTTTTAGACACTAACTCTCATCTCATCAAGAATGTACAATAATTTAATTAAATAGATATAGAGTTATTATACGTAATAGTTTAAATATTATATATTTAATGAAAATATTGTTAGTAATAGTGTTTCAACGTTTGACTTATAAATTTTTTTTTTTCTAGCAGTTGTCATCAAAATGGTCAATCCCAATTTACTTAACATGGATGAAGATTTTTTATATCATATTAATATAAAAGTTGATAAAGATACTAATGATATAAAGAAACAATTTGGAGATATCAAGGTGATGTTAATAATTAATAATTAATCTATACAAAATATATGTGATCATATCTCTGCTAAATATTTGCACCCATTTGCGTTAAAGTTTTTTTTACTAAATATAATTTACAAAGACTGTTGTTGTACTTACATATGAAATAAATATTAATTATAGATCAAAAAAATATTATCTATATTGATATAAATTATGTTTAAACGAAAATCTCTCATTTCGGTCAAATGAACCGCTTAAGAATTTAAAATTTAATGTGCCATTTCTTTTTTACAAAGAAAACAGGAATAGTCGTTTAGTGAACCATTATATGAAGACACATATTTATTTCACATGAAAAGTTCCCATTATCATATACTAGAGGTCCATGAAAAATTAAGAAAAATTATTCTGTAACAATTCGAAGATTAATTGAAAAAAAATTTGTTGTGAAAGCCTGTTTCAAATAATTATATTTTTCCCTTGCTTTCGAGCCTTTGAATCTTACCCTTTTCAAATATTGTATCAAGAGTTCTAGTTAATATTTAATTTTTTTATGAACTAATAATTTTTCCGGGTAATGAATACTGGTTTGATCTAAATTAAGAGACATGCAACTTTCAGATCAAACAAATTTCTTATGTCAACAGATCATAAACAAACTCGTAGATCTGCATAATCTCTTTTTAAATTAATTACATAAAAAAAAGCTATTAGTTTGCAAAAATATTGTTGATTTTAAAAATAAAATACATAAAATAAAAAAATTTCTCGAAAATAGCTCTATCTATCATAATTAAAGGAGTTAACTGTTTTTGTAAATATTATATAATAATACGAATGAACTATTTTTATTAAGCATTATTAATATGTAAATTTAGTAATAATAATTTTTTTATTTCATAGTTTGTATGCTTGGGAGGCACCAAATCTCGTATGGCAGCATTGGCTGAACATTTACGTGAAGTTCTTCAAATAGATCAAAATAAGGAATTGATAGACTTAGGTGAATCAGGACATCGTTATGCCGTTTATAAAGTATGGAATGATGAGAATTGAATTCCATCCTTAACTAATCATTTTTATTTAGGTTGGACCAGTTTTATGTTGCAGTCACGGCATTGGCATGGCATCAATGAGCGTACTATTGCATGAACTCATAAAATTAGTTAAGTATGCAGAATGTATTGATCCTGTATTTATGCGTATTGGCACGTGTGGAGGACTTGGTGTACCACCAGGTACTGTCGTGGTAACTAAGGATGCATATAATGGTTATTTGCGTAATGAACATCAAATTGTAAGTTGTTTATTAATTTTTTTTGAACTGCATTCGTGATTTATACAAATAGCAAAAACTTTAAAAACATATTTCAAATGCTTACAGGCAGTTTTGGGTGAGAATATTGTACGTCCTGCTTATTTTGATTCGAGTGTTAATAGTAAAATCATTAAGTGTCATGAATCAACTGATAATTTTGAGCTTGTTATAGGTAACACATTGGGAACCGATTGTTTTTATGAAGGTACAAAAATAATATCGAAATAGAAATTTCCGTAAAATGAAAAATAATATTTTTTAGGACAGGGTCGTTTAGATGGTGCTCTTTGCAATTACACACTTCAAGATAAGATGTCTTTTTTAAAAAAATGTTATGAATTGGGAATAAAAAATATTGAAATGGAAGCAACAATGTTCTCTTCATTGGCATTAGCCACTGGAATTAAAGCTGCAGATATTTGCGTAACAATTCTAAATCGTTTAAATGGTGATCAGGTAATTAAGTTATTTATCAACTCTATTAGTTAATAATTGAGTGTATTTTTGTGTTTTTAGGTAATTGTTACTATGGCTGAAAAGGTGGAATTTGAAAAACGGCCTTTTATTGTAGTGGGTCGTTATATTAAACAAAATTTGCAGAGCAATTAAATAACTACTAACTGATACCGACACTTTACTTCAATGTCGACTTTTAAACTTACATTTAAACTAGGTCAGACCTATTAAGCCTAATCTGGCCTTTTGGTTGTATTAAGATTATTCTATTAATTAATATTATCAATGTACAATATTTATTAAAAAGTACAATATATATAATGTATTTTAAAATGTTTATTATGTTAATACCACAAAAATACTGTAAGTGTAAGCAAAATATTGCCATATTTATGGCAATATGTATTTGATTTCTACATCTAGGACTATAGGATGCGATTATAAATTAATTACGAATTATTGTAATGTATAACACCCTAAGTAACTCCCGGTCAACTTCATTACCTGACAATAGGGAATTAACGGTTTATTGTATTTAGTTTGCATTTAATTAGAGTAAAAATGAACTAAAGATAATGAAATCAATCTCTCCAATATTTTTACCACATTAACTGCAGCATAGGTATTTTCCATCTTATTCTATATTGTATATAGAATAATATAGCAATTAATGTTTTAAATTACATAAAAGTTATCCTTAGGTTAATTTATTCAGATATCACATTTTTATTAGTTTCATAAAATATAATTATCGTTTAAACCTAGCATATAATTGAAACCAATTTCTAACCCTATTGTTATAAAACTTTTTCAATGAGGGAGTGTTATATTAAATGGAGAAAAAAAATGCAAAATATTCAATAAGGTCATTTTACACCGCATCAACGAACCAATTGACAGCCAAATGAAAAAGAGTAAGCTGAATAAGCAGAATAAGTAAAGCCCGTACTGCTGACGCTAGTCTGTGCAATATTTGACTTTCAAATAACTTTCTACTACGACAAAAATCAACGTGTACAACATATGCTATGTACTACTCTATTGCTGGCTAGTCAGTGCTGAAATCAAATAAATGCGCAACATACTTAAGATCTGGTGGTCTAGTGTAATTTCAAATGAAGACCTACTTCAACTAACAAAACAAGAAGATATTAACACCAAAATAAGAAGAAAATACGATTGGCTGGGTCACACGCTCAGGAACCCTTATGAAGAAATCTGCCACGCAACATTAAAGCGAAATCCAATGGCTCCCGAAGGCGAGGACGACCACGAACCACTTGCGGAAGGATCATCTTAAATGAAACCGGTAAGTCCTTTAATGGCTACCGTAAAAACGAGCAAAAGGAATGGTTGTCGGCAAACTCTTTGGAGCTCATTGCTCAAAGAAGGTGCGTTAAAACGAAAATGTTAAGCGAGGCGGACCCGTTCAAAAAAGCCGAATACAACATAACGTACAGAAGTCTCAGTAGGCAGATCAAGAAAGCAGTCAAAAGCGACAAGAGAAACTATTACGTTGAACTAAGCATGAAAGCACAAGCAGCATCAGAAAAGGGCGACATGAAGGAGCTGTTTAAGTTAACTAAACAACTAGGTGGAAAATCTTTCCAAAGCCGCGCTCCAATTGAAAATGAAAATGGACAGCTGGTGTTTGCTAAGAACGAGCAGGCAGAAGTATGGAAAAGACATTTTGAGAAAACCCTGAATATCATACACAACGAAAGTGGCGAGCTCACAATACGAAGACATCTAAATCCTAACAGACAAATAGATACAAGGGCACCTAGCGTTAACGAAATAAGAGGTGTAATCATTAACATGAAAAATGGTAAAGCACCAGGTAATGATTGTTTACCAATAGAGTGTTTTAAGGCAGACCCCAATGCTGTGTCCAAACTTTTGCTCCCCTTGTTTGAGAAAATCTGGGAACTAGAGTCATTCCCTCTCGAATGGAAGGAGTCTATCATCGTCAACATCGTCAACGCCGAAAAAAGGCGATAGAAAGAAATGCAGCAACTGGAGGGGGAATTCCTTTAATACCAGCAGTTTTTCAAATTTTCAACAAAATAATTTTAGAAAGAATCGCCGTAACATTAAACGAGCTTATTCATAAAACTCAAGCTGGTTTTATTCGAGACGTGCAGGAACTCGAATACCTGGGGAGTATAGTCAACAGCGAGGGTGGCACGTCAAAGGACATCGGCAGTAGAGTGAAAAAGGCAAATGGCTCTTTCGCATCGCTTAACAAAATCTGGAAAGCCAACAATGTAAGCGTCGAAACTAAAACCAGGATATTCAACGCCTGCGTCAAATCGACATTATTATATGGGTGCGAAACATGGTCGCTCACGAGGGCCTCGACTCAGAAGATACAATCCTTTGTCAATAGAAGCCTGCGGCATATTCTGAACATATGGTGGCCTGCAAGAGTCTCCAACGAAGAGCTATGGCAGCGTACCAAACAAAAGCCAATAGAGAAAGAAATTTTGAGACGCAAATATGGCTGGTTCGGCCACACACTTAGAAAACCGACAGATGCAATTGCCCACGCAGTCATGGAATGGAACCCGCAAGGAGTAAGGAGGCGAGGTCGTCCCAAAACCACCTGGCGAAGAACAGTGGCAGCAGAAACAAACAAATCCTTTAACCAGTTACGTTTTACTGCCAGAAACAGAGAGGAATGGATATATTTGTGAATAGACTAATTTTTAAATTTTTAATTTAATTTTTTTAATGAAGAACATGTCTTAATAATAATAATAATAAGTCCTTTAACGAACTTAGATACTTAGCTTCAAATTAAAATAACACGAGAATTTTTTAAATAGCCTACGTTCCTGATGCAATACGACATAAAATATAAAATATTATCATTTATCGAAAGACTGGTAGCTAAATATAGCTCTGCGATGTCATAACGAACCTTTAACATTAAAACTTTAGTAAGCTTGGTATGCCTTATTACTTCCATCTACAATTGTATATAATCTTTTAGATTTTAAAACATATTAATCAAACCAATATCTCTCCAACGTTCAATTAATCGAACAACTAAACGATTAGATATTCATAGCTTAAAAGTATAGAATTTTAGTTCTATATGTATTGTGTATATTGTATATTCTATATAATATACGGTATAAAATCGTGAATATTTTAGAGATTATTCCTGCAAAGTTTTCATTTGTTATTTGTAAGAAACCCGTGAAATTACAGTTGAAGCTATTCCTGATCAGATCATTATGACTGGTTCTTCTAGAAGATGGAAAAAGTAGCAAATAAATAATGATATTAAATTGTTAGAAAGGCAAGCTTTATTTATTACTGTCAGACACCGTTGCTTCGGTAGTTGGTGAAGTTTATCAGTTAAAAAATTGTTTTTGGCATTTATGGATCGCCATGTTTAATTCATTCATAATTCTGTCGGTAATGCATAAAAAGTGTAGTGATTTTCCATCATTGCCATACAAAAAAAATATTGTGATTCGAAAAAACTTTTCAGTAATTATCGTATACGAATATTCGCTTCTAATGACTACTGAGGAACAAATATAATCAAAATCACAATAAACGATTTAATTTATATCTCAGCAATCAAAAATGATAGTATGAAGATTTTAAAAATAGTAAATTAAATATTAAAAAATACAAATATTTTTCAAAAATGTTTTAACAAAATTACTTCCCCTTCTGTTTTGGCACAACTTTTGACAAATTCTAAATTTTATGTGTAAATTTTTTTTTGGCAAATAAATTTGGAAAAATCTAAAAACAAAATGAATAACCCCCATCTTTGTTTAATGCCATCTGACTTTCTATATCATTTAGATATAAATATTCCGAATTTGGACGACACTACAGACATTGAGGACACATATGGGGAAGTAAAGGTAAGGGATTTAATTGTATTTTTTTTATACACCTTAAACATTTTAGGATACGCAATGTGGAAGTAGAAATGTCATGGTCTTCTTTTTAATTTATAAATGTGATTATATAATTAGGGGAAGTTTTATATAGGCAAAATAATTTTTTGGAAATAAATGAATTCATTTTACCGTTTTAACTTTCGTAAACTATATTATGAAATACAATCGCTTTCTAACTATCAATTCACAGGTTAGACTATTTTTTGTTAAGCATCTTCTAATATTTTTCAAAACGTGGATAAAAAAAAATCAACATTATTTTCTGATAGACAAAAGTGCACTTTTGTTTTTAAGAAACTCTACCTAAGAAAAAGGGACTTATAGACATAATAACAAACGATATCAAACATATCGTTTGTTAATATCAAAACAGCATAAGAGAGAAAACCACTATTTTCTAAACAGAAATTGGCACTCAATTAAGTTAACAAGAATCAGTAAAAGTCACCCAAATACACCTAATGCGTAACAGACAAGCAGAAATGTGAAGGCCTAGGTTTTTTTGTGGTTGTGCATATTATAACATCCATTAATTACTTTAACAGCGAACAGAGCATCAATGACATTATTGATGTTCTTGCAGTGTAAAATTCAAAAAAAAAATCATCTCAAAATAAAGAAAATGACTTTCCCATCAAGATATCATATTTGATGATAACGAGTGTCATATTATTCGAATCATACTTTGAAGTGCTCTCCTAACTTATCTCAAGAAGTACAGTTTTTAAATATAAACAATATTGTGCATTATCTTTTGAATAAATAAGAGGACCAGTTAGGAACTGTGTCCAATAACTATTGTTAAATCTTAATATAGCTGTCAAATTCTAAGTTAAAACTATATTAATATTATGAATATATATTCAGTTCGTTTGTGTAGGTGGAACTAAGCCACGCATGTGTTCATTGGCCAAACAATTGCGCTGTGCTTTGAAAATAGATCAACACTTGCCGCTCGTAGATATAAGCGCAGCAGCACATCGGTATAGCATGTATAAGGCTAGTAAAACAAATAAAATAATTTATAGAATCGAAAAATAATAACTGTCTTCACAGGTAGGACCTGTTTTATGTTGTAGTCATGGAATTGGCATGCCTTCATGCAGTGTGCTGTTGCATGAACTCATCAAATTGGTGAGATACGCTAATTGCGTTGATCCGATATTTTTGCGGTTGGGTACATGTGGCGGGCTTGGAGTGCCTCCAGGTTCTGTAGTTATATCAAAACAAGTATTTGATGGTTATCTGCGCAACGAATATGAAATGGTAATTAAAAAAATTTTTGGAATAAGTGAATATATAGTATATAAATATTACTGTCTCTAGCCTATATTAGGAGAATGTGTACGCCGGCCAGCAAATTTCAATCCGATAGTTTTTAATGAGCTATTAAAATGCAAAGAGAGAGATGATAGATTTGGTATATGTCTTGGCAACACAATGTCAACAAATTGCTTTTACGAGGGTATGTGATAGCAAATTGTTCATATATGGTATTTTTTTACATTTGTGAGTCTACGTCTACTTTTTATTTAGGTCAAGCACGTATAGATGGCGCTGTTTGTTGTTACTCGCTTGAACAAAAAATGTGTTTTTTAAATAAAATTCATTGCATGGGTATTAAAAACATCGAAATGGAAGCTTTACAGATGGCTGCAATTACATACCATTGTGGCATCAAAGCTGGTGCAATATGTGTTACACTTTTGAATCGGTTAAATGGCGATCAGGTAAGATTTATAAAATCGATTTCTATTATTTCTAAATCTATTTTAATTTTCTACACTTTTAAAAAATTTATTTTTTTATTTAAAATATTGAGCAAAAATATTTGTGTATATAGTGTATTTGAGTTTTTATATGAATAGGATTTTGTAAATATTTGTTGGGATTTTATAGAATAGAAGAAAAATAAATAAATAAATTCATAACTTTGATTAACTAGTCACACATATATTACACCAAAATTTTATTTTAATTAATTGAAATTTTGGCTAACAGCTTTTTCATGAGTAATCTTTGATATGTTCCTTGTTTTCACAAATCCTGTGTTAGACTACAAGTCCAGCCTTAAAATTCTGAACCTATCAATTTAGAAACAACGGCTTTGCTTGTTTTAACCGAACGCACTAAAACTGCACGAAACTTTCTTTGTTCAAATTTCAAGTCTTTTTTTTCTGATTTATTATGGAATAACAACTGAAGCACTCATAATGCTTTTTATTTAGAACAAGTTTATAAGGCAGGCCTTTTTTAATCAAGAATAATAAATTGAATCTTAAAGCTCTTTTAATTTTTTTTTTAATTTTTCTGTATTATTTTAGATCGATATAACAAAAGAACAACTCGATGACTTTCAGCAGCGCCCTCTAACAGTTGCGATTCGTTATATAAAAAGAGTTTTAAACATTAGCAATTGCGCAGACGAATAGTGTTTCCTATTTATTACATCTGAATAATTTTTGTTATATTTCGTTTTGTTATCTGGTAATCAAAAAATTTAAAAAATTTATTTAAATAAACATATTTTGACTTACATAGACAAATGATATATTTTACTTCCAACTGCCTTTCGTGAAGTGTAAAATACTACAAAATGCATATAAATAAATAAGAACCATATTGGTTAAAAGGAAATTGTCAGATTATTGATACTTTTATTCTCCTGGGAACGCAATGGAATAAAGAAGAAAAAGGTTCATATTTTAAATAGGTATAAAATTATGATTAAACCTGTTTTTAAGAAACATGAATTTCCCAATTTGGCATGCGGATCTCATGTAACCAATACAGAACGTAAAAACGTGAAAGCAACTTGAATTCATGTGAAAATAATAAGATAAGATCTCCCCAATAGACATAAATTACATCGGAAATAAAATGTTTGGGTCGGCAGAATAATGCAATTTATCACCATTAGACTTTTTACGGAAAGGATTGTGCTTATACAGTCTTCGAATTCTAGATTCTTTTAAAATGTATAACTATTGGTTTATCTTGAGTTTCTGTCTATTATGTGCAACGAAAACAAGTCAACGAAAACTATCTATAAAGGATGTTAGAATACATTTAAATAATGTTGTTATTCATGTTATTCAGGTAAAGGAAAACATCATTGAACAGCTTCATTATTCTTATTTGGAGCTGCTGTCAATGAAGCAGCATCTGTTCGCAATGTCGCAAAAGGTTTCCATGATGTTACACAGCATAAAGTTGCAATCACAATACACTGACTTACTGACTTTTCATTTCAGTGAAATTATTAACTATAAAACATTCATACAATAGCCTATTCATAATTGCTAAAAATTGATAAAATTGATAGGAATGATAAAAAATAAAAAACAAAATAATTTTATTAAATACAAATTTTAAATTTTATTAAATACAAATAATTTAAATTATGAAAATATTTTTAAACATTATTATCTGTTTAAATTTCCTCAATGAGTTTTTTTTTGCTTTGAGGAGATTTGTTAATATTAGTTGGAAAAATTAACTTCCGTTCTGACGGTTCAATTGGCTGAGGTACAGGACTTTCATCTTTAGCAGCACATAGTGGTTTTGCAATTTTTTCTAAACTCTCAGCTGCTTTCAAATACTTGTTTGGAACAATTTTGTTTGGTTTAATCAACTCAACAAGATCGTAATCTTTACATTTTGATTTGGTTTTTCCACTGGTTTTATCCACATCACTTCTGATATCTTTCTTCAGCTCAGTTGTAGATTTTATGGTAATTGTTGGATGGTTCTGTTTAACATTGTTTGTTGTTGGTTGCGTGATATTTTTTGTTACCTGACAGTCTTGAATTTTGATACGCGTTGTATCGGGTGGTGGAGGTATGTCTGGTAATTGCAGACGTAACTCATTGATAAATTTAAGCGCAGTTTTCTCCTTTGGGTCCACCTCCAAAACTTTTTGAAAGTAGTCGTATGACTGAAATATTAAAATAAATATAATTACTTATTTTAAATAAATGATTTTTTATATGTTATATTAATTTAACAAAATGTTTTTATTTTAATCAATAAATATATCAATAACTAGCGGTCCCGACAGACTTCGTTCTGTCAAAAAGATTTGGAATGTGGCAGTTTTTGTGCCTACCTATTTTATAGTCAGGGCAAAAAAATCTCCTGAACAGAAAAGTCACACTGGTGTGTGGGCTTCAGCTCGGGTGACCAAAGTATCTTCTCTTCCAAGAACTTTGGCCACCCTTCTGGAATCCACTAAAAAACCCTGACTGGGATGTCTGCCAGAGGGTTTCAAACTAAGAGGCGAACTTAGGGACAGTGGAAACCTAAAGGTGACAAATATATAAAAAGTGGGTGACTCGCTTGGATAGTGGAGATTATAATCTGCAAACAAAGTCACGGGGATATAATAAACATACTTACAATAATCAACAACTTATTACAACACACAAACTCATCTATTGTGGTTATGTTCTTGTCTTCTTATATGTAAAAATGAATCGAAAAATGTGTTGGAAAGCGCATAACTCAACAACGCCTGGACCAATTTTTAATTAGCAATAATTCGATTTTTTCTCGCCGTAAAAACCATCCTTGAACTTCAACGAACATTTTAAAAAAAATTGACGAAATTGTCATTAAATTCATTGTAGTGCTTTGTGATAAACGATGTTTTTTGTTTGATTACCTGGCGCATAAACAAACAAATCTGATGGTTTTCCAACACGGGAACAGGCAACATACAATTGACCATGTGAGAAACATGGGTTTTCTAGATCAATACCACTAAAATAATTATGATTAACTGCTATAATACATACCTTGAAAGTTGGCATGAAATTTTTCCGAACCACATTTGTTGCCCCAAATGAAGTAATTTGAAAACAATTGTTATATTGTTGGATATTTGTCAAAAAGTGTATGGAATCTGTTCCTATTCCTGAAACCAATGAGTACAATGGCTCTGGTGGTGGATCCAGTGGTATCAATTTCACTTTGTCATTTGCGCAACACAATCCATTGGTTTCATTTTTGTATTTCAATGCCTTACAATGTGAGCGAACCGAGTTCATTGATCCTATAGCAACACATTGATAGTTGCTATAGTCAATAGACACATCGTAACTGAAAGCAGCTCGATTCAAACTTACGCGATTATGAGCTGAATGTCGCGCTCGCGCTTCACGCGTTTGTTATATCCGTATTCTTTCAAGTTCATTTCGGTTGTCACGTTCTTGTGTAGTATGATTAGACCGAGAATTAGTTTGGTTTGTAGCATTTCGGGTTCTTCTACCTAAATTACTTCGTCTTACAGGAGGCATATCGAATATAAATTGTGTCACATTCACAAAACACGATGTATTTAAATTATTTACAGCTCATATATTAATGACAGTATTTAATTATTATATTTGAAATACTGATGATGTTGCTTAGACAATAGTGAGTGTTTGTAATGTAATATGAACTTTATTGAATAACAATAATTCGATTTTTTCTCGCCATAAAAACCATCCTTGGACTCAACGAACATTTAAAAAAAAAAGAATTGACCAAATTGGTCCAGACATTATTGAGTTATGGGCTTACCAACACATTTTTCGATTCATTTTTATATATAAGATATAAGATAGAACTTCATTGAATAGCAATAATTCGACTTTTTTCTCGCCGTAAAAACCATCCTTGGACTCAACGAACATTTAAAAAAAGAATTGACCAAATTGGTCCTGGCGTTGTTGAATTATGGGCTTACCAACACATTTTTCGATTCATTTTTATATATAAGATATAAGATAGAACTTCATTGAATAGCAATAATTCGATTTTTTTTTTGCCGTAAAAACCATCCTTGGACTTCAACGAACATTTAAAAAAAAGAATTGACCAAATTGGTCCAGGCATTATTAAGTTATGGGCTTACCAACACATTTTTCGATTCATTTTTATATATAAGATAAATGAATTTATATATAAGATAAACAAATGAATTTAAACCGTAAAAGACGTACACAATACATGACATACACAAGCAGCCATCAATGAAGAAACCACATGCATTAAGGAAATAGCGGACATCAACGGATACCCTCAGAACACCATTGATAGAATCATAAAAAAGAAACGAAGGCAGCTACATTCCAGGAACATGACGACATTGACAACAGAAAAACCAAAACAAAGAAGAATCTCCGTAGTATACAACAACACCAATTCGAAAGCCTATTACCATCCGCAAAAGACTCAATTAACCCATTCGAAAAAAACGGAGTATACAAAATAAAATGTGGCTCCTGCAACAAAATATACATTGGACAAACAAAAAGACCCTTATCAGTAAGGCTTTAAGAACACCTAAAAGAAGCAAGAGCAGCACCGAAGAAAATAAACCCCCACATAAAATCAAATGTCGCCAGACATATAGTAAAGGAAAATCACCTCTTCAACAAGGATTACGCCCAAATAATCAAAAATGTAAGGGATAGCTGAAAATCAGAAACGGCAGAGAACATCGAAATACATAAACATCAGGCCACAACTTTACTTAACGGCGATAAGGGCAACGTATCATCGTGGCTTTTTAGATACATCCCAAAAAACCAACAACCAGTCGACCTAACTACCTCTATGTAAAAATAAAACAAAACCAGACCAACCCCGCCACCATTTCTTACCTGTCACCCCCAAGGACAATAACCCTACCAAAATTAGTATTAAGAAATAACATGTAAATATTTTAAATAGTTTGTAAGATTGCTAGATGTTTTTAATATTAGGAATTCTCCTGATGAAGGCAAAAGCGAATTTGCTGAAACACGTGTAGAGATACACAACATAAAACTTTCGAAATTAAAGTTAATATATTCTAAAAAACAAAAATAACCGCATTTAAATATTTTCGAAGTAACGACTTAAAAATTAAAACAAAAATAAATACATGATGTATTTTTTTCACATTTTTTAAACTAACATATTCATATACAAAATGAAGTTTTTATTTGCATATACTGTACTATAGACAGGTCTACAAAGTAGACCGAAAGATGTCATTTTAAGTCCGGTAAAAACCAAATTCATTTATGAGGTCAAAATAACTTTAATTAATTAAGTGGTATAATTACACCTTTATTAAAAAAGTTGCTCAACTAGTCCTGTTGAAAGACGAAACATTAATATCATCAACGTGGGCTCTAGGCAGAGTCATAGAAATCCATAAAGTAACAGATGGATCAACCCGAGTTGCTACAATTAAAACCCAAAAAGAGGCAGTAAAACGTACGAAAAAAAAAAATATACCTTCTGCCAATCACTGATAATCTCAAAGAAGATCATATTCAATCAAAACCGTTGGTTCTTGCTATATTTTTGGCATATCTCACATCAGAAACTACATTAGCAACACCCACAATAGCATATCCCGGATAATGATTATTCATTGAAGGATTAGGCAAAGCAAAAATCACATTTCCAATCTGTAGCATAATTCAAGATCAAAAGAACGTTAATAACGCTATAAAACAATTAACAATCT